AATCTTATTATTTTTCTCCTTGCTCATTGCCCTCAGCAAACTTCTGAGCCATTCTCCAAAATAACCAAGCAAAATCCAGCCTCAGGGCCTTTTGTTTATTGCAATTTTGGCCTAGAAAATGTTTTCTCTAAATACTTCCATGGCTTGCTCCCTCCCTTTCTTCAGGACTCTGCTCTAGAAGTATCTTTATCAAAGAAGGTGATTGTTCACAAGTAAAATAATCTATCTTCCCATAGCTTGCTTGTTTCTTAAGAGTTTTTGTTTTTTAAATACTTAACACTTGGTATATTGTAGTTTTTTCTCACTAGATGTTAAGTGCCATAATAGCTGAAGTTTTTTTTTTCATCTTTGATTTCTCAGGTGCCTATAGAACATGGTAGGGAATCAATGAGTGTTTTTTTAAATAATTATTTAGCTTATCATTATTATTATTAATTTCCTCTAGGGCATGCACAGTCACCAGAGAGAGAGAAAGAAAGTGAGAAAGCAAGCAGCCAGGCCCAGGACTTGAACCACAGTTGACCATGTGGGAGTCCAGAGTGCTATTCACCATGCCACCTGCTGGACCCTCAGCTAATATTTCTTGAAGAAATAAAGGAACCCTATAGCTATTATGAATTTAGAGTTTGAAGAGGTAAGATTTCCTTTACAAATAAATATTAAACTTGGTCATATTGTGTTGTTGAGACAAAATTAAGACTTGTAAAGGATTTAGTATATTGTCTGTAGTTAAAAGTTTGTGCTAATGAAAAAGAAAAATGATACTGAGTGTAGATCTAGAAATATAGTTGCAAAACAGAGTGAAAGTTAGTCTGTGAGCAATTAGCTTTGAATTTTTAGAAAATTTCTTTCACATCATGTTAATAATCTTGCAGAGGCTTGGTGTGATTGCTGATTTATAAATATGTGGATAGAGTGGAGCATTTTTAGCAAGCCTAGCTTGAAAAGCATAGGGAACTCCACTGAGCATAGAAAGAAAGTTCCTTGAATTCTGCCCTGGGCATTATCTGTATTGCTGTGTGTGGGGGTTTACACATGTGGGTGTATGGGTTGATTCTCATTATTCATGAATCCCATATTTGTGAATTCACTCACTTGCTAAAATTTATTTGTAATCCTCCCACATCCCTCAAACCAATACTTATGTCACTTCACCATCATTTGCAGACATAAACGTGCACAGAGCAGTGACAAACTTAAATCACCAGATAGGCATGCTCCCAGCTGAAGTAAAACAAGGCAAAGTTCTGCCTTCATGTTTCACTTTGACAAGTATGTTTTTACTATTTACTACCATTTATATTTGCATTTCTATGCTTTTTTTCTTTTTCTTTCTTTTTTTTTGGGGGGGGAGCGGTGATTTGATTATTTAAAATGGCCTCTAAGCATAGAGCTGATGAGCTGTCTAGCAATCCTAAGTGTAAGAAGACTGTTCCGTTCCTTACAGAGAAAATACATGTGTTGGATAAGCCTCTCCAGGCATGAATTATAGTGCCTTTGCCCTGAGTTCAATGTTAATGAATCAACAATACAAATCGATAACTATCTTTGAATAGAGACACATAAAACAAGGGGATGAATTGACTGATTGATGAAAACATGACCAGAGACTTGCAAAAACCTAACCTTGTATATCTCTTAGGTGTAAAGATTCAGTATTTGGGGACCAGCAGATGGCATAGTGGTTGTATTGCTGGACTTCTACATGGCTGATTGTGGTTAAAGTCTTGGCAGCTTGAAACATACATGTTGGGTGTATGTGTGTGCATGCCCAAAAGAGAAGGGAGGAGAAGTGACTGTGGTGGGCCATATTCCCTGGGGAGAGATTTTTCACTTTCTGTCTCTCTGGTGAGCACATGTTCCCTATAGCAAAAATCTCTTAAAAAAATAAAAGATTCAATATTTGCTAATTCACTGTTTGCAGCAACTTTATAAAACTTCATTGTCACAAATAACAAGCATTAGCTGTATATAATGTGGCCATGTAGGTTGTGCAAGCTTCTCCCTAGGAAGAGACTGAATAGACATGAATATTAGCCATGTTAATAGTAGGTAGATACCTCATTTCCCACGTAGGTGAAGTAAACAAGGGATGGCTCTATCTCACTCTCCTAAGTGAACTAAAACTTACTAGATTATTTCTCCTGGAAATTCTACATAAGAAGGTAAGAGTGCTGAGCCCTCACTAGAAGTCCCTAGTGCACAAAAATATATGCTCCCAAAGATCTCCTCTATTAGGGAGTAAATTTAGCACATAAATTAAAAGCAGGGTCAGTCTTTGACTTGGTGGGTAGGGTGACTGGATCTCACAGGGCTGACTATGTGAACCTAGCAGCTTGAGAAACACATTGGACATGTGTGTCCAAAATCCTGACAGAAGGGAGAAATACAGAAGAGGTTTATGGCATGACCATTCCCTACAGGGGTGCTTTCTCACTTTGTCTCACTGCTCCCCCCAGGAAAGTACACCATGTGTCAAATATTAAAAAAAATAATAAAATTCCATGCAGAATCTGGAGTCCAATAAGACACTGTCACCACCACTTCCACCAATTACTTCAGCTGATAACTACACTTCTCCAATCCTCAACTTCCTGATCTATAAAAGAAGATGATAATAGGATCTACTTCAAAGGGTTGTTGTGAAGCCTACATAAGGATCACAAGAATAATGTTCAACATGAGCTTAATACATAGTAAGTATTCAACATTTGTTGACTACTATTGTTAGTCTTTGAATAATAATAATACTTGGAAATCTAGATTTCATTTCCCCAAAGAATGATAAAACAGAAAGAAGTAATATAGGACTCAAAACATGCACACACTCTTCCTTATGCAAAGCCCCTTCTACTTCCCCACTCTCTTTCAGAAGTCCAAGGAACTCTTGTCCTGACAAATCACTTTCCTAGACAAAGAACAGGCAGGATTAGGGCCAAGAACCAGATGGAGAAAGGGGGGAGTAGCTGCCCCTCCTGCTGGTCCGTTAGGCTGGAGCTCATTCTCTATCTCTCCTCTACATTCTTCTTACACCTAAAGGGATCCTGGGACCTGATTTTAAAGTGACTGCCTGACTACTTGCTTAAGCAATATATAAGGAAACTTTTACAAGTTTATGAAAAAATGCATACTATAATTCAACATTTTGGCCTCAAAATAAACTTGTATTTTAATTCCATTTTCCTAAATGTTTTAAAGTATATCACTGCTAATGAATTCAGACCATAGATTTTTGACCATTATATGTCTGCTTTGATTTTGTGTGTTGACTTGATTGAGCCACAGATACCCAGCCGTTTGATCACACATTGTTCCGGATGAGTCTGTGAGGTGGTTTTTGGATGAGATTAGCATCTCTATCAGTAAAATGAGTAAAGCAGATTGCCCTCCTGGCTGTGAGTGGGCTTCATCCAACCCATTGTAAGCCTGAATGGAACAAACAGGCCAGATAAAAGGGCACTTTACCTGTCTTATTGCTTTCAAGCTGGAATTATCAGTTTTGTGCTGCCTTTGAACTCGAACTGAGACATTGGCCATTGGCTCTTCCTATGTCTCTGCTTGATGATTGCAGCTCTCGAAAGAACCAGTGCCAATACAGGGGTGGGAAAATGCCTGGCATATGCTCTCTGTGCCCACCTACACCCTGGCAGACATTCCTCACTGTGGACCAGTGACTGGATCATCTCATTACAGCACTGCAGGAAATTGGACAGTGACAGAGTTGGATCCAGGGTTTACTAGTTCTCTCAGCTTTGGCCCAGGGCTCCCTTCATTCCCCAACATAATCCACTCATATGACATGTTTTCTCTGGGTCAATGTAGGCCTCATAGACTCAGTGTGAAATGGGATAAAAGCTGCCTGGGACATGACATACCTCAGGCCCTGGAATCTAACTGTTAAGCTTTGAATTTCTGCTATTTATGAACTGCGTGACATTGGGCATGTTACTTAACCTTGTGAGTCTGGATTTTTTCATCTGTGAAATGAGGAAATAATTATACTTTTCCCAAAAGGGTGTTGTCAGGATTATATGCAAGGTATTTAGTATGCTGCGTGGCTCACAATAATACTAAAGGAAAAAATTATTCATGACACTTGATAAAGCTTAGGTAAGGCAGACTTCATTCAAGACTGTTGTGATAGGTTATAGGGACTACTGTCATGTAGTTTCACAGAACCAGGGAGAAATGGGCCCCATTCCAAATACAACAAGGAAAAGTGAGAATTTATAGCCGAGAAGCACAGTGGGTAGGGATTGGTAGATAGAAAATTATTAAGAGCAAACATCAGAATTAAGGGAGGATTCTAACTAAATCAACCTAGCAGGATTCTTGCTGAAGACAGTCCAGGGTAATCAGACATTGCCTGGTGGATAGTGAAGGATGAGAAACCCGGTCAGTTATGGAGAATGGGGAGATTCTAGTTAAGCCACTCTGGCATGATTCTTACTAAAAGTGAGTGATGCAAAGATAGACAAAGCAGCCCAAAAGTGCAGGCCTATCAGGAAGAGGTTTCGGAGGAAGTTAACTCATGTTTGATCAAGGAAGGACTGTCAGTAAACATTTAAAAATGTTTTTTGTTTGTGGTTTTGATATTTTCATTTATTTATTTATTTATTTTTTATTTTTTTGTCATAGGGTGCATGCCCTCACCAGAGAGAGACAGTGAGAGGGTAAGTGAGAACCACTCCCCAGGAGGATGGACATGCTGAAATCCCTTCTCCTCCATTCTCCTCCTGGGATTTTGGGCACACACATACATATGCCCATGTGATTTTTAAGATGATATCAAACTGTGGTCGGTCATGTGTGAGTCCAGCACCTTAACCACCACGCCACCTACTGACTTCCCCAAAATAATACTTTCTTAAAAAATTGTCACTCAGACCACTATTATAATCTTCCTTAGAATATCTACCCAGCTTAGTATTATTTGTTTATTTACAACCCAAGCAATGGGGATCAGACAGTAAACCAATGGGGGCTATGTTGATACTCACCAAGTCAATTATGCCAATGTTATTCCAGCCTTGCATTATGGGGAGAAAAGAGATAAACGTGGGTATGACCCAGCAGCCTCCTAGCATTAATGCGATTCGCAGAGGGGTCATCTTGTTCCTGTAGACCAAAGGCTGGCAGCAGATGGCATAATACCTGAGAAGAGTTGGAAAGAAAGAAAGGACAGAGAAAGAGAGGAAAGGAGAAGGGAGATAGAGAAGAGGAAATATTGAGGAGAGAAGAGGAGAGGAATTGGAGGGGAAGTAGAGAATAAAAATAAGAAAGAAAAAAGAAAATAATGAGGCAAAGAGAGTGTAGGCAGTTGAGAAAAGGAAAGAGAAGAATGAAGGGAGAAAAGAACAGAGGAAAGAAAAATATAATTATACAATAAAATATGTTACATTGGCCATTGAGTTTGTGTTAATACAAATACATACTTTAGATCTTAACTGAAAACCAATGCTTAGAGTCGGCCTCCATTCCTCTTCACCTCCCTACACCCAGAGGAGCTCAGCATGCAGCTCAAAGTCTTCCTGTCTCAGGCACAGTCTTCTTTGGTGCCTGGGCATTTGGGTGCTCTCTCCAGTCCTCTAGATGTCTGTCAGTGTTCAGGCACCTGCAGCTTATTTTATTATAATTTGAGGTGAATCAGGCTTGGTCCTACATTGACTTCTAATTACTGTACATCAAATTTTCCTCCTTCCTTTTGATCAGCTATGTACATTGAGGTGACACTCTAAGTCAGCGTTCCTTAAATTACGGTCCAGGTACTCCCCCTCAGTCCCCAACTCCTCACTGCACATCATTCATCTGGAGAAATTTTTTATAATGAAGATCCCAAGGATCTTCTGAACCAGAACCTTTTAGGAGGCCACCTAAAGTATGCTTTTAACAAATGGGAAGCATTATTTTTTTCTTGCTAAGTACATTCAATTTTCCTCTTCTGGGCACATTCACTTCCTGGCCTTCTTATGGCTGAATGGAGTCAAATGACTGGTCTTGGCCAATAAGTCACCAACAGAAAGGACATGTATTATATCTGGAACAGACCATTTAATTGTTTCTCTCATGCCAAGAACATAAAATTTCAAGTATTTTCTGTTCTTTCTTACCTACTGGTTCAGATCATCCCCCTCCCTTTTCATAGTGGTCTGATCTCTCTCATAAGACTCTGTTCACCTTTTTCTGAGGCCATGTTACTAACTTCCTGCCTCCAGACAGAGGTGCAGACTGCTCCATCTGATGGTCTCGTCTCTAGCTCCCAGACTGATCCCACATATTATTCCAACCATGGAGATCAGCCCTTCCATAGCCAGGGATGGCAAGGAATTTCACAACAGACAAAATACTGTAATGCATCTATCAACTATTTCTCTTTGGATGAGTCAAAAACTAAATGTAAAAAGAGAGCCTGGAGGCTAAGTCTATACTTTTAAGATTTTATGCCATTTAATGATGAGCCACCCCCTTACAGCCCTAATTTTATGCAGTTCACTTTGTTAATTTCTCCACCTCTTCTTTTCTTTTCTTAATTCAAATGATAACTAATGTAACAATGGCTATATTCTTTGAAGAGGTGGTAGTAGGATGGATCGAGAGAGAGGGTGGAATGAGAAGGAGAGCCCAGTGTTGGAGCATGAGAAGCAGGTGCCTCAGGAGCTGAGAAGGGGGAAGTATTCTCTTCCCTTTGAGGCACTGAGGAGCAGTTGGCCATACTGTGCCAGGAAACTTCCTACAGCTGGCAGGTCCGATGTGGTCAACTGGGGTTTGTGTCCCAGACCTTGCAGCTTGAAACTAACACCGTGTGCATGTGCATGCAGGCCCAAAATCCCTAGAGGAGAATAGAGAAGGGATTGCGGTATTGTCATCCCTCCAAGGGATGATATCTCACTTCTATCTGTCTCTCTCTCTGTCTCTTCAGCAAGTGCATGCGCCCTATAACAAAAATCTCTCAAAATATTCTAATATTTGTCTATATATCAAGGTCTAGATAGAAATATTATAACTTGATTTTTATTTATTGTTGCTTTTCAATTTCTATATTTGAATTGTATTGCTCCTCATAATAACAATAGAAAACTGTCCTATCATGAACTGTACCTACAACATATATCCACACTCCTAGACAGAAGTAGCTAGTTTGCAAGATCTTTAGAGGTTAGGCAAAGTGCTCTGGCTGAGTAAATAATAACGATTATTATTTACTTCCTTACTGAGGGCACTCTCTATATTATCTAATTCTCTCAACTACTTCAGAGACAGGACCATAAATGCATCTATTTCAAAGATGAGGAAATGGAAACACAGAAGGGGCATAAATTTGCTCAAGGTCCCATAGGCGCAAAGAGCAGAGTTGATATCTAGCACAGCAGTCTGACTAAAAGGCCAGACATTAACCTCATCACTATCACTTCATTCTGTTGCTTCTCCCATGTCTCTAAAAGTATGTTTTAATTCTTTAAAAGCTACTCTAGAGACCCAGCCATGGTCATGCTGATGTAGTGCTTCCTCTTAGGATGCTGGCAACCATGTGAAAGTAATAGGCTCAATTCTCAGGCCAACTTGAACATGCTGACATGGTTGTGCTTGCCTGCAACACTAGTTGGTTGGGAGGCTAGGGCAGGAGAACTGTGACTCAGCTAGACTTGTTTAAAATGTCTATCTCTGTCTCTCTTTCCTTTTCACTCTTTCTTTCTTTCTCTCATAAAGATGAAAAAATTCCACTTCAGAAACAGAGCTTAAAAATCTGAATCTCAGGAGACCAGCAGATGGTGTAATGGTTACATCATTGGACTCCCATATAATTGACTGTGGTTTGAGTCCTGGACCTGGCAATTTAAAACTCATGCCAGGCACGTGTGCATATATGCCAAAGATCCTCAAATGAGAATGAAGAAGGGACTGTGGTGTGGCCATCTCCCTGGGGGATGATTTCTGGATTTCTGCCTCTGTCTCTTTAGTGAGTGCACACATTCCATAGCAAAAATCTCTCTAAAACAAACAAAACAAAAAAAACCCCTGAATCTCAGAACTCGAATGGTGTTCAGAATCACAAAATTCCCAAATCCCTTCTAAAATGAAATATGAATTCAAATCTTCTGGAATTTACCATCGTCTGAGGATTCATCAAATCTTATTGAAGTACATTACAAATGTCAGGGGGAAATTTTCTCTAATTGTTTTTCGGTAACTTTCCGTTTTACCTTAAAATGCCCATCTTTAATTCTGTTTCTGTGTAATGGTTTCACAGACATCTGAAGCAAGCTTTGACATTCCTCTGAAGTTTTACTTTCTATAGGTAAAAGCATTTCTAATTGCTCTCAACCAGGGAACAGTTTTTTCACTGGAAGACACTTGACAAAGTGGGGAAATATTTTCTTGTTTTTGCAACTGGGAAGTAGGTGCCATTAGTACAGGTCAGGAAAAAGCTGATGAACATTCGACAGTGCACAGGGCAGCCCCCACAACAGAGAATCATCTGGTCTACAATGTCAATATGCCAAGGTTTAGCTGAAGTGATTTTCACCAAATAGTAGGGGTTCCATGTCCTCTGGGCTACATATGCCATTGTCACTTAATAGTGAGGAGCACAGGACAGTGCACTGTGCTGGTGCATCCTATACAGGTCAGAAAAGACTACTGCCCGACCTTGCACCCTTCCCACCGCAACTCAATACAACGCAGGCAATATTCCTAAGAACAGGACACCTATGCCCCCTCAAAGAGCTTAAGATTTAGGGTTGGAGGTGGGAAAAGCCTGCCCCTAACTAATGTCTAAGTTCCATTAAAGTAGAAATGTTTGCCTTGTTTACTGTTGCATCCCCAATGTCTAATACAATATAGTGTGGATGTTCACAACATATTGAATAAGTAAGAAATCCTTAGTCATTAACAATTACTTTAAGTTCCATTAACTGAGTTTTGGAGATTTGAATGGTTATATCTAATAGAGAGATGGAAAAGGATTTTCTTCAGTATCTTTCAAGTCAGATTTTAGTGACTGGGTAAGGATGATGGATGAGAAAGTATACTCCAAGTGCTGTAGATACCATGGACAAAGTCCTGGAGAGAGACATTATGTATATTAAATATTTATCCATAGGGACCAGCAGTTGGTGTAATGGCTATGTTGCTGGACTCCCGCATAGTTGACCACAGTTCAAGTGCCGGACGTGGTGGCTTAAACTCATGCTGGGCACATGTGCATGTATACACAAGATCCTAAGAGGAGAATGGAAGAGAAAGGATTGTGGTGTGGCCATCTCCCCTCGGAGATGACTTCTTGCTTTCTGTCTCTCTGTCTCTCTCTGTGTTTCTGGCGAGTACACTCGCCCTATAACAAAAACCTCTCCAAAAAAAGTATCCATAGTAGAAATTTATATATCCACATAGCCATATGCAAGTAAGAGTACAAGTCAGCTGGATCATGGGTGTTCATAAGGAAGTAAAAGGAAATAAGCCAACAGGCAGACTGAGGCAGGTCTTAGGGCTGTGGTTCCTAAATCTTATTGTGTACCAGAATCACCTGGAGGGTTTGTAGGAATCCAGATTGCTGGTAGCTGTGGAAGGGGGCCCAGGAATTCACATTTCTCTCTCTCTTTTTTTTTTTTGTGGAGAGGTTTTTGCCAAAAAGACAGAGAGAGACAGAAAGCAGGAAATCACTCCCCAGGGAGGATGGCCATGCCACAATCCCTTCTCCTCCATTTTCCTCTCAGGATCTTGGGCACGCACACACATGTGTCTGGCATTAGTTTAAGCCACCAGGTCTGGGACTTGAACCATGGTTGACTACATGGGAGTCTGGCGACACAGCCATTACACCAACTGCTGGTCCCAAAAATTCATATTTCTTTCTTTCTTTCCTTCTTTCTTTTTTTTTTTTTTAGAGGGTTTTGCTATAGGGCGCATGCACTCACCAGAAAGACAGAGAGAGACAAAGAGATAGAAACCGAGAAATCACCTCCCAGGGGAGATGGCCACGCCGCAATCCCTTCTCCTCCATTCTCCTCTCAGGATCTTGAGCATGCACACACATGCGCCTGGAGTGAGTTTAAGCTACCAGGTCTGGGACTTGAACCATGCGGTTGGCTACACGGGAGTTCAGCGACATAGCCATTAGGTTAACTGCTGGTCCCAAGAATTCATATTTCTTTCTT